TTTAATTTTTGATAGTCTCAAAATATTTATATATAGAAATTTTCTAATAAATAAACTTTAGGATTTTAAAGTCTAAAACATCTTCTTGTCATGGAACACAGTGGAAGAGCATTTAAATAGGAAGTTCATGCCTCCTTTCCTTACTGATGGCGTAAGATATTCCCAGAGCTGGCTTCGAACCCTGGATCATGGCTAGATCATATTAAAATTTTTCCCTCCTATGTAAATCATCTGAATTACTTGAAAATTTTACAAAAATACCTTAAAAAGACACATACTAACAACATTATATTTTTATTTTAAATTTAATGTTAAGTTATATATATACATAAATAAATATATAAATGTGTGTATACATATATATATATATATATATATATATATATATATATATATATATATATATATATATATATATATATATATATATATATATATATAATAATAATAATTTTAAATGTTAAATGTATTCTACAAAATAGAATGCTCAATGTTCTTAAAAGAACAGAGCAATAATAAATTAGTAGAAAATCACTTAACAATCTTTTTTCATTTTACACTGTGTTTCATCAATTAAGACTCATCAGAAATCTTTCTGATGAGTCTTATATATATATATATATATATATATATATATATATATATATATATATATATATATATATATATATATATATATATATATATATATATATATATATAGTCTTGCAAGGTCGTAAAAAAGAGTTTCCCATAAGCGGTAGTTTTAAAGAGATCACTAATAAAGCAGACCAGAAACAATTTAAAAGCTTAAATAAAATTTTTTTTTTTTTTTAAATGATAGATAGCTTGCCCAAATTAAACCCTCAGTCGATATAGCAGCACTCCATAGCGAGTCAGGCTATTTGTCAGTCGATGTAGCAGCGCTCCATAGCGAGTCGGTCTCCTAGATAAGGATATAATATATATATATATATATATATATATATATATATATATATATATATATATATATATATACATATATGCATATTTATATATATCCAAACAACCACTATTAGAGTTTGAAGTAACTGGAAGAGAAAAGATTAAGTTTATAAAGCAAGATAACAATTAATAGGCTACTTAAAAGATTGCATGTTATATGAATCAGGAAAACAAGATGAAGGGAGCAAGTTCCAACTAACAAACTAATGTTCGAGGAAATAAACTAGACAAATAAGAATTTTTGGCGGATTTAACCAGGTGCATTTAAGGTCTGCCCTAGATATATATATATATATATATATATATATATATATATATATATATACATATATATATATATATATATATATATATATATATATATATATATATATATATATATATATATATATATATATACATATATATATATATATATATATATATATATATATATATATATATATATATATATATATATATATATATATATATATATATATATATATATATATATATATATACGGCAATCATCAGCCATGTACTATATCAAAAACAAACAAAAAACCGTTAATAAAATACAGTGGAGCGACATCTGACGTCTCTATGGAGACAAAACAAGAAAACGTCAAAGAAAAGTTGTATATAAATCAGCTAATCACCAGTATCATAAAACGAAAGAAGAAATTTATTTTTATGTCTACAATATGAAACTAACTCGTTCTTTTTGTTTAACAGATTTTTCCCTTTATGCATTAAAATATAAAACTTTTCATTAAGACAAAGATTGCAAATTTTGGACGAAGGATTATATGATTGGCAGCGCCTGATAATTTTCCACTTAATAAAAAACGAAAAGCTTTCTTCTTTAAGTTTCCAAATTTCTTTCGATAATTCAGTATCATTTCTGTACTTAACTAAATTAAAAGATTTTAAATGATTTGCATACCTTAACTTGAAAGGGGTCTCGCTAATACCAATATAAACTTTTCCGGTGTAATCTGGTTTATTGGATGAAACAGCGGCTTGGTATACAATATTCTTACTTAGACACTGGTTGTTCATAATGCAGGTAGATTTATTGAAACAGTTGCAGGTTTTTGTTGCTGTTTTTTTATGATTGTATAAAATATTATGATTATGCGAATTGATGACTGACTTTACGTTTGGCATACACGAGTAGCTAATTTTAATGGTGTTTCTGTTAAAAATCTTGTGTAGTAAATGACCAACAGGAAAACTTGCATCAATTATTTTTAAAAAAAGATTACCTATCTTTGTTACAACATTTTTACTATATGGGGGATTATACCAAATAATGTTCCGTTTGTGATTTTTGTTATGATTTTTGTTTCGAATAGGTTCTACAACTGACCGGTATTTAAGCTTGGATGAGAAACCCGATTTTAACAATGCATCCTGATAGGGAGAAACAGCTTTTTCAAAAATTTCTTTGCTTGAAGATGCAGTAGACAATCTAAGTTCAATTGTTCGCGGTAGACTTTTTAATATGCACGGAGGGTGGTTAGAGTCGGAGTGAATATAATTAAGAATGTGATCTGGTTTTGAGTAAGGTTGAAAGGAACTGTTGCTAAGATTTAGTGTTAAGTCCAGGTAGTTGACGATTTTGACATTACAACTGATAGATAAATGGAGACCATTGCTTTTAAAAATATTTACAAAATGCTTCTTTATTTTTTCCATTTGCTGGCCGCTACGATTTTTAAAAATAGCTAGACCGTCGTCCCGATATAAACCTAATTCTTTACCGTTGTAATATTGATATAGTTGGTGCAACATAAAAATTCCCACCAGTTCACATACTTCTGCACCATCATAAGCACCCACATATGTCTATCAATTTTAAAAAACAAACTGTTAAATGCTTTAGTTCTTGAACATGCAACATATAGTTAACCGTGGGGGAAATGCGGTTTTTAGATATACTCCAACTCTATCAAATATAAAAGCTTTTCGTTTTTTATTAAGTGGAAAATTATCAGGCGCTGCCAATCATATAATCCTTCGTCCAAAATTTGCAACCTTTGTCCTAATGAAAAGTTTTATATTTTAATGCATAAAGGGAAAAATCTGTTAAACAAAAAGAACGAGTTAGTTTCATATTGTAGACATAAAAATAAATTTCTTCTTTCGTTTTATGATACTGGTGATTAGCTGATTTATATACAATTTTTCTTTGACGTTTTCTTGTTTTGTCTCCATAGAGACGTCAGATGTCGCTCCACTGTATTTTATTAACGGTTTTTTGCTTGTTTTTGATATAGTACATGGCTGATGATTGCCGTATAGGCATGAAACTTATAGTTCCATGAAATGTTGTTTTTTTCTCTATGTAAATAAAAACATATAAATATATATATATATACCGCTCTATTTAGAAAGTTGTTTACTTTCTTTATTATTGAGCACTCTGAACCGAAATAGAGTTTTGTATTATTATTATTGTAATACAACATTAAACATCAATCGATATATATATATATATATATATATATATATATATATACTTATGTATATATATTATCATGACCATCCTATTCATCGTCACCTTCATTATCATTATTGTCATTGCTTTAGCCTCCCCTATTTATGCAGTTTCTCTAATATAAACAATCTTCAGTTAAGGAAAGAATCTTCTTTCCTTACTGAAGCTTGTTCATACCATATTTAATGTGTTTTCACCATTACTTCAACCTCTACCATTTTCTCCTGAAGATACCTACCTCTCTACATGCTGATGCTCAAATGTGGATGCAGATGATTTGTATCATCTGCATCCTCAGTCTTTAACATACCCAAACCACAATCTTCTCTAAAAAACCTTGTTGAATACACTCACTATTTCTAATTATCATATTCTCTCTTGGCAAATAACTTACAAATTGAGAAGTGTTACTACACCTTATAAATTGAGAAGAGTGGCCTTTATTGGAACAGCTCTTTGAATGGAACACTTGCATTTGTTTTGGAAAAAAAATTTCTCTTGGCTATAATTTATATTTTTCTAGTGGGATTTAAAATACAAGTAAATACATAAACTTATAAATTGCTGCAACTATAATGTTATAGTGATATAACAAAACAGTTCAAAGTTTCCTTGATTGGAACTATAAAGTTTTCCCTACTTAATCGGTGATAAAATCATTTGAAGGATTGAAGAAATAGTTTAGGCGCAATTTAGAAATAAATAGTTATTATAAACCTCAAAAAGAATACTTTATTTTGTTATTTTTAGTTAATAAAATAAAATAATGTCAATAATAATTTATAAAATAAAGTAATTAATAAAATGAAGTAATTGAAGTTTTTGTGCAAATTATTATTTATAGAACTTCATTTTGCTCAGACAGTTTTAATCCTGTTATAAGTTTTGAATGAATTGATTAAATTGTCACTTTAAAGATAAAAGTAAATTTAAATTGATTTCAATTGATTTTACTGTACTGGTTAAGAAATCAAAGTTAAACCAGTTGCCTTGATTGGAAAAAATGGTGCCTTAAAAAAACCGAATTTATTTCCAATGAAAATGTAATCAATTAAGTCATTATGGTTAAAAGTATAATTGTCTGTTTGTATTAATCATATCATAAACAATTCATAGTTAAACCATAGATTAAAAAATCAAAATTTCTTAGGTAGTCCAATTTCAGCAACTCTCCCATACTAAAGTTTGTTTAAATATGTATGCCAGCAAATAAATAAATGCAAACATGTTTATATTCATATATATTCATATTATATTCCATTATTTAATAAGTAGTAAATATATGCATAAATTTATAATATATAATGTATTATAAATTTTTTCCGAGCCCTGACTATCAACTCCTGCTAAATTTTATAATTTTGCTGGAGCCAGGCTTGTTCCGAGTTTTGCCTGGTCTGGGGCCTCAATCACTTACTAATCTTTATTTTCATTATCTTGAATTGTAAAAATTTAAGTATTGAATTTTTACAATTGAAGATATTGAAAATAAATCAAGCTATTTTTTATTCTTGTTTTTAGATGCGCTTGTTTTTCTTTAGATGCACAGCTGAAAATTTATGCTTCATTATCAAATTAATTAAACATGACTTGCGAATGAACACTGGCCCAAAACACTTGTATTTTGTTAAATTTTATTATCTTTATTAATTGTGATTTCAGGCATTATAATATAATACCATATATTATAATGCCATATATTATAATGGGATGCTTAACCGCTTTATTATTTATTGTTATTTCATGCATTTTAGTTTTGATTCACTTGACTCAAGTGCTTATGCATTGTTTCAAGCTTCAAGTGATTTGAAAAGTGTTATCGAAAAGTGGATGCAGTTGAATAGCGAAAAAAAACTTTCATCTGGCACTAAAAATTTGCTTAGTATTGAGACAAGTATAATGACACCAATCAAACCTATGCTTGCTGATGCTTGCAAGTCTATTGAACAAGCAATCAAAAAATGTCCTAATGGAATGTACTCTGAAATCAAGTATGATGGTGAACGTGTTCAGGTAAAGCTTATAAAATGTTGCAAAACCTAGTTGCCTGGTTCCTTAATTTTGGAGTTATATATATAAACATCAATGTCTAATGTGTCGGACATTGGCGCCCTCCAGACTGTTCTTGAGACCTGTTTGAAGGGGGCAACCCACCATTGTTCATTTTTATTAAAAAAATGAATAATTTCATTCTGCCATATTTTACCAATGAGATTCTTTGGTTTCTCAAGAGTCAAAACGGCTTCAGTGAATCCTAAAAATCTATAGGACTTCACATATTTTTAATTTTTGCATTTAAATGTATGCAAAGTGAAAAACTGAAACCTCAGTTATATTAGATTGAAGATCAAACAAATAAATGAAATATTTGCTTCAATTCATTTCACAGGTACATAAAAATGGAAACAAGTTTGAATACTATAGTCGAAGTCTCAAGTCGGTACAACCTCACAAGGTATGTCTTTTTTTTGAGAGAAAAAAAAAAAATTAAAATACAAAGGGTATTTAAATATTTTTTTAATTTACAAAAAAATATTTTGATAATTTTTGGATTTTTATTTTGAAACTTTTTGACTGAGAACATGGTTTTCCATCATTCATTTCATTTTTAAAATGATTTTTAAAATCTGTTGAAATTACGAGTTATAAGTTGATTTCAGTCGTAAAAAACATGATTTATGAAGATTTTGTTCAGCACAATCCTTAACTGAGGTTTTAATTACTGAATAGAAACTTTAAAAGACATAAAAAGTGAATATTTTAAAAGATCTTATTTCTATAAAAAATATTGATATTCCTTAAAAACAGAGTATTGAGAAAATTCTTTTCAGGTTCACACACACATACACACACATGTATATATATATATATATATATATATAATATATATATATATATATATATATATATATATATATATATATATATATATATATATATATATATATATATATATATATATGTATGTATATATATATATATATATATAACTGACATTATATAGCAACAGATTAACTTTATGACTTTGTTGACCAAACAACATTATTCTTTTACCTTTACTTTTTAACTTTTGTCTTTGACCCTAGGTAGTTTTTTCAGTTTTTCCATTGATTTTTTTTTTTTATCTCTCAAATTTATCTCTTGAATCTAACAACTTCATTTTTTCTATCATTCCAGAGAAACAGGTTAATACATTTTTAGACATCTAAATCACTCTGGCTTCTATTGCTAAAGTTATTTCTCGTTTGAACTCTTTTACAGCTTGGAGTTTGGACAACATTCCTGTAACAGTCTCACAAAAGTGTTCTCCATGCTTACTTCAATGCTCTCTAAACTATTAGTTAACTTAAAACTCTCAAATCATTCTGACCCCATATGTATTGTCCAATCAGTTTTTTTACAACTATTAGCTCAGCTTTTGAGTTTGTAATTTACAAACCTCTTAAAATTACATTTTTAGTCTTGCACCATACTTTATAATAATTAATGTGGATTTCATTTCTTGCTTTCTACTGCTGATTTGTTAACTATAATATCAGAAATGTTTTATCATGCATTAGGTAGGAGTAGCAAGACAAAAGCTATTGATTTTTACATATCAAAGGCTTTCTTTAAAGTCTTTATTTCTAGTAATCTCTAGTACCACAAGATTACATCCTTGGTTTCATGTTGTTTCTCAACTACATTTGATCACATATAATAGGCAGTTAATCTTAAATATGATCTCTTGATCTGCAACAGCATGAGGCTTGCAGTGGCTGGTGAATTTCTAGTGAAAAATTGCTGATAATCCTGTTTTGATGAACAGCTTTTGCTGAGTTCTCTAGTTCAGTTTCAGTTTTAATTCATTGAAAAAAAAATTTAGTTTTACCTGTAAAAAACTGATCAAAAACTGATTTGTGGATGGTGGTATTCAGTCCTTAAAATTTTTTAAAATAGCTTTCAAATTTCAATATTTTTTTATTATATAGAATATATTTTTCTTTAACAAATTTACTCCTAGAACTGAAATAAGAGTAAAATAAAAAATTCTGATATAACCTTTTAGATATTTAAATTGTTTCAAACTTTCAAAAATGTTACTTTTTAATTTTTTTTTTTGAATTGTAAGTATTTGTAATGTATTTTATCAAAACTATAAACGTACATCTTTTGATTAACAACCAAATCAAATTTCAAAAATGAATTTTTACGCATTTGCTGCCAGACTTCTTTTTTTTCTTTTTCTATTTTCCTTTAAATTTTTACCTCATTGGGCATTTTTCATATATAACCCAAGTGCGGCCATGGCGTAGTGGTTAGAGCCCTTGCTTTAGAAGCAAGAGATCCAGGCTCGAAACCAGCTATGGATATATTTTTGCGTCACGGCAAGGAAGGAGGCATGAACTTCCCAGTTAAATGCACTTCCATGGTGCTCTGTAACAAGACTGTTAGGTCTTCTTGGAGCACCTAAAAACATTAAAAAAAAAAAAAAAATCGATTATTTATACTTAGAGGTACCTAAAATAAAAATAGTTGAAAATGTTTCAGTTATTCAGTTAAATTATTCAAATTTTTAAACTACTTAACAATTAAACTACAGTTTAATTGTTATTAAAGAACAGATTATTTATTTATTAGTTTTATTGTATTGAACAGATTTCTACATTTTTTAGGGTTTTTAAGTTGAGTTTTTTCAGTTCGTTAGGTCTCATGTATTTTGCAAACATGGTCAACACATGACTTATTAGTTATAGATTATTGTCATCTTTAGTATATTTTTCTTTAGTTGCTATTTTGCAGGTCTACTGCTGTCACTTGACTCATAGATTGTGATAGGCACTCTTTTTTTTTTAGAAGGTTTGGCCAATAGATTTCTTAGTACATTCGTATCAGCAGAAATTCTCAAAAATTTGTTGCTTTTTCAAGATTTTTTCTGAAAAAAAATGTTGTCATACTAAAGAAATATGGTAACATTATCAATTGAGTATAACAGGATTTTTAGTTTAAAAATAAATCAAGATAATGGGTTTAATAAGTTTTCAAAGCAAATTGCAAAATATCGATAACCAAAAACAATAATTAAAAATTAAAATTTTTAATAATTAAAAATAATACTAGCATTTTTGTTGTTTACATCTAGTCTAGTTACTTCTGTTGTTGCTTCTGTTGTTACCACTGTTGTTACTTTTATTGTTGTTTCTGTTGTTGCTTCTGTTGTTATTTCTGTTGTTATTTCTGTTGTTACTTCAAGACTAGTTACCTTTATTCCATAAACAGTTAAAAACTTTTGAAGTACAAAAAAGTTGTCATATTAAAAAAAATATGACAACATTATCAATTGAGTACAACAGTATTTTCAGTTTAAAAATAAATCAAGATAATAGCTTTTATAAGATTTTAAAGCTAATTGCAAAATAGTGATAACCAAACACAATTAATAAATATTGTTGTTTTTTGTTGTTATTTCCATTATTTTTATTGTTATTTTAATTGTTAGATTGCAGACATCACTCATTATTTGCCACAAGCATGTCCTGGTGGTGATGCACTTATTTTACATGGGGAGGTATAGTTGTTTGATCAGTTAGTAATTTTTTATTTATTTTATTTCTTTAGTGAGTACAGAAGAAAGTAGAGTGCAATTTCCTTTTTTTTTTCAAAAAAAGTATCAAATAAAAATATAGCTTGAGATTCAATGATGATTTTAGGTTCTTCTTATGGACACAAGCACAAATAAACCATTGCCGTTCGGAACATTGAGCATTCACAAGGTTCATTCATTTTTTTTCTTTTTTGAAATTGAGCTCAATAGTTATAATTTATTATGATCTATGCAAACTTTTACAGTTTTATTTATTATAATTAGTTTTTTTTTGACATGTCTTAGAAGTCAAAATTTGCAGAAGCAACAGTATGTTACGTTATATTTGATATTTTACAATTTAACAATGAAAGTTTATTGAAAAGGTTTAAAATATTTTTTTATAATTTTTGTTATTTCTTAGGTTATTTTGCCTAATCATTGTAATTTTTAATATATATATTGTACATAAGTGATTGATAGGCATAGTAGAGAGTACTATTTTTACACTCTGTAATGTGTTTACATGCTGTATTATGATCTCATAATGTATTGTATTTTCACACAATTGCGTTTACAAACTGTTGTTCTACCTCCTGTGTTTTATTACATTTTGTTTTTTTTAAAACTATTTACCTACTCAAGATTGAGGGGGCTAATTCAGTCAAGCTACTTGAAAAAATAAGTTTAGCATGGTTCTACCATGGACACAATGGGGATCGAACTCGAAGCTTCTTTTAGTGTTTTAGTGTTAAAATTTATTAAATTTGTAATTTATTTAAAACGTTCAAAAGCTGTATTGTCTTTCCATGTTGTATTTAGTTTATGTACTGTGGTATGTCTGTAGATACACACTGTAGTATGCAGTGTGTGGTATGTCTGCAATTCGCAATGTGTTTAATGAAGTTTTTTTGTATTTTGCAAGCATTTAATATTTTGATTTAGATTAAAAATTTTAACTAATAATTTGTTCATTAAATAATAATTACATAAATTATATTATAATGTTATAAATGAATATATATTGCAAATAGTACGCTATTGGATTCAAAACTTTTATTAGTAAGTATGAGAGAGTTACAAGGAATATGGGTTGTAAAGGAAATGTAGCTTTGAAAATTTTTGTTACCCGTCTATTCAGATAGAGAAGCGAGTAACAAAAAAAGTAGGTGGGCATCAAAAATTAGTAGATAACTCACTTTTTGTTTTTCATTTTGTGCATATTATACTTTTATGATATACTGTACTTCTAATAACCATTTTTAATTTCTTAACGCCCCCACATTCCATGCCACATTCCACACTGCATTTATATTACCCATGCTTTTTACCCACAAATAATTTTAACTGCCATGTTTTATTTAGACAGTAGTTTTTATTTTTGTATATAATATTTTTGCCCAGGCCACTATGTGAGAGACGTGAGATATTGTGCAAGAACGTCAAAGAGATTAAGGGTAGAATTGTTTTTTCAGAGATGAAGGAAATTACAGTAAGTTTTTAATTTTTAAAAACACTGTTTTATTTTATTTTTTAACTTAAAGGGTTCAAAGTTTTTGTTAGTTTTATATCAAATGTTTAGAAAAGTGATGAGCTTCAGTGCCAGTTAAAAAAAGTATTTAGTGAGAACCTTGAAGGGCTTGTGATGAAGGACATTAAAGTATACCTGTTTTTTTCTAAAATTTATTTTTCTCTTTATGTTGTATTTCTCTTGCAAACATCTAAGATTAAAACTTGTACCAATAACTAATAGCTACCGTTTTTTTTTTCTTTTATTTTAATAAATCTAATAAATCTAAATATAAATTATTAAATCTCTATGAACTTTCATTCACTCTGCAAAATTTTACACCAAATTTACGAACTTGCCAGGCTATAAGATAGTTAATGTATGTACTATAATATATCAATAAAATAATTTTCGCATTATAATAATATTTTACAAATTCAGCAACAACAGTGTCAAATTCATGAAATAGGCAGAATTTTATTGATTTCACGAATTCGAAAAGTTCGCAAATTTGAAATAACTTTTTGAAAACTCTCTTTTTCTTTCTCTTTGTTTTTACTTCATTTATTAACTTTATTATTATGTTGTTATCAAGTAATTTCCTCTTTTGATTCTATCATTCAATATTTATGTTTCTTTAGAGTATATATGAGCCAGGAAAAAGACATTGGTTAAAGGTATTTGCAACTATTACGGATTATTATGATGTTTGATGTTTGATATGATTATGGTAGTTTTTAATTTTTGTTTTATTTTAAATTCTGTTGCTTTTTTATTCATACTAACATATAAATTGGAGAGTTTTAACATATGACCTTTGAACAGCATTTTAAGTTATTGGTATTTTAAACTTATAACAATTAAACAGGGTGTTTGCCAAATCAGGAAAACAGGGTGTTTGCCAAATCAGGAAAACAAGGAAAAGTCAGGGAAGTCAGATGTCTGCAAAAAAATCAGGGAATAATCAAGGAAATTTAGTTGAATTTCGGAAAAATCAAGGAGAAATCAGGGAAAGATTTACAAGATTTTTTTCAAAAGTTGAGTTTTCGTAATTTAAAATTAAATTAGGGAAAACAGGTAGAGAATCAAAGAAATATCAGAGAGAAATCAGGGAAATCTGTTTTTTTTCAAAGTTATTAGGGTTAACAATTTTTTTGAAGAGAATTTGTTTTATATTTTTTTATTTTATAATTTATTTTATATAGTTAGTACAACTGTTAATTTTTTTTTTTTTAATTTTTTTTTTTTTTTTGTATAAGTATTGAAATTATTTGAGTTTCTAAATTTTATTGTCATACAAACATTTTATAAATATTTCTCTAAAAAATCCCATTATAAACCCAAAAAACACTTCAACAATTTCTGTAGAACAGAACTTTATAACAATCTCTATAGAACAAAAACTTTATGAGTTTCTTTAAAACAAAAAATTTATAATATTTTCTATAAAACAAAATAATTTCTATAGAAATTATTTGAATTTTTGCTTTTAATTTAAAATAAAAACATATTAAAGTTTTTATGCATTTTATGTTTTGATTGAAACATGTTTCAAGATATGTTTCAAGATATGTTACAAGATATGTTTCAAGATATATAGTGCATAAAAACTTTAATACGTTTTTTTGCATTATATGTTTCAAAATTGTGAAAAATATCACTTTTTGAAGAAATTTTAAACAAGAATTTTTGGAGAAATCTATTAGATTAGATGGATGCTGGGACATCCATTTAACTAGATTGTTTATGTTAAAAATATTTTAGTTTTGAATTAGATTATAAAAGACTATCTTCAAGATGGCGCAATGGCTGACACTGCTGATCTTGTAGTTCTTGGTGCTTATTATGGAACAGGAAATAAAGGTACGCTACAATGTACAGTTATTATGGAGCAGGAAATGAAGGTATTCTAGAGTGTACAGTTTGTTTTTAATTTGCATTTTGTGTATTAACTTTTACTTTTAAGGTGGTATGATGTCTGTATTCCTGATGGGTTATTATGATCAGAATCAGAAAAAGTGGTTGACAGTAGCTAAATGTGGAAACGGTTTTGATGATGATACAATAAAAAAACTCCAGTCCTCTTTACAAATGAAGAAAATATCTAAGGTACTCGTTTTTTCTTCTTCATTTTTAAACAAATTTAAAGAGATAAAATTAAATATTTTAAAACTATTTTTGAAAATTTTTTAAGATAATGTACCATCTTGGCTTGAAGTGAATCGCTCTTTAATTCCAGATTTTGTTGCTGTAGACTCAAAGGTTTAAAGTTTTTGATTTGTTATTATTATTTTAATTTTATTTCATTATTTTTTATGGTTTTCAATGTGTTTCTGTTACTTAAATTATTTTTGTGACTTTAAAAAATATTTTTCTTTAGACTTTTCCCAAGTTCTTTTTTTCTTTAGACTTCTCCTGTGTGGGAGATTACAGGTGCAGAGTTTAGTCAATCTACAACTCATACTGCAGCAGGGATCTCAATTCGCTTTCCTAGAGTTACTAAGGTTCGTTCAGATAAAGACTGGAAAAGTGCTACTAATTTAAGTCAACTTCAGGTTATACTTTTTATTTTTATTTTTTTGTAAGGATAATTTTCTAGATTGTGTTTGAATATTTGGTTGTTTACATGTTGTTAAATCTTATGGTTTTTGCAATATTGTTCTAAGGAAGTTATTAATTGTTACAACTTTCACATGGTTATCATTTTCAAAATACATTTGCTATTTCTACCAATCAATAAATTAAATATTATGTATTTTTAAATTATTTGTACCTATGATAAATTATAAATTTTAATGATTTCTTTTATTTTAATTTTGAAAATTAGCAAGAAAATAAAATCTTTTGTTTTTTATTATATATTTAGAAGTTATACAATGAATCAAAGAAAACTACAGGTTAGCAAAATTTAAAAAAATAAATAAATAATTTTACAACATTTTTACAACTTTTATAAGATTGGTATATGGTGTATAACATAAAAAACAGCAGCGTACATAATACATAAAAAACAGCAGCACACATAAAACATAAAAAACAGCAGCGCACATTAAACATAAAAAACAGCAGCGTACATAAAACATAAAGTATAGCATAATCAGGTCATCATCAGATGTAAAATGAAGATGAATTATTATAAATAAATAGTTATAAATATCGGTAATATAAAAGTCATTACAAAATAGAGTACATTGAAAACCATAAAAAAGACCATACAAAGATGACATAAAAAATTTTCTTGTTAAATAATAAATAATTTTTTATTACATTAGCAGGCTGTCAAGTTGTCATTTTTTTCATTTTTTTCATTTTTTTCTGGGTCTTTTTTAATAATTCATTTTTTTTCATTTTTTTGTGAGTTTTTGTCATTTTTTTTGTGAATTTTTTCAATTAAAATATTTTTTCAAATAAAAAGTATTTGGATTTAGTTAATTTTGAGTCAATTGGTTTCAAGTTTATTTTTTGTAATTTGAGTTTTTAATAATTTAAATTTTTCAATAAATATTCTCTTACAATCTTTTTTTTTTTTAAAAGTTTTATTGAAATATAATTTTTTGAATTGTTAAATTGTTTTTATTACTTTTATTGGTTGATAAACTGAATTGAGAACTAGATTTTGATTATAATTTTCAGTTTTTGTAAAGTTACTAGTATCTATTTTTAATATTTAGTAAATTAATCAATAGATAGGTCTATATTTATCAATAGATAGGTCAAAAACACAATGGTTAAATGGAATGAGGTTTGGTTGGAAAAGCTTGATAAAAATCTAGTTAAAATTAAACTATGGGCTGAGAAAAAAAACTCTGATTATGCATTCTGTAAACTCTGATTATGCATCTGTAAACTCTGATTATGCATTCTGCAAACTTTGTTTTAGTGATTTGAAATACAGTTTAGTTGGTTTTCAAGCTCTTTATCAGCATTCTACTAAACCTAAACATAAATTAGTTTCTGATATTAGATTTTCTAAAACAGCTCGTCATTTATATATAGATTCCAATAAAAACTCTATTGGGAGAGAGAAAGTAGTACAGTTAGAGTATTCTATAAATGATAAAATTTCAGCTGCAGAAGCTATGTGGCTGTTTAAAGTAGCTGAAAATGATCTTGCTTTAAGACATTGTGATAATACATCATTGTTATTTCAAAGAATGTTTCCAGATAGTATAGTAAGTCAAGGTTTTAGTATGAGTAGACAAAAATCTTCATATATATTTCAAGATGGCCTTGGACCATTGTTGGAGAAACGCCTGTGTACTAGTATAACAAAAAGTCAAGGTGCTTTTACTTTAATGTTTGATGAAACAACTACAGCACAACAAAAAAAACAAATGGATCTTTTATGTTGTTTTTGGTCAGAAGAGGAGAACCAAGTTGTGACAAAATATTTGACATCGCTTTTCTTTGGCAGAGCAACAGCAGAAGATGTCAAAAAAATGCTTGCAGATTTACGTTATACTGAAAGATTTGATTTACCATGGGATCGACTTTTTAATATTTCAGCTGATGGTCCTAATATTAACAAGGCCATTTGGAAGTTATTAAATGCTGAACTTCATAGTGATGGCTTTAATGGCTTATTACCATTTGTAAGTTGCACTTTGCACACAGTGCATAATGCATTTCGAAAAGCAATTATAGTTTTAGGTGAAGATGCTGAGCAGCTTGCATTTGATTTGCATGCTTGGTTTAAGGTAAGGAATTTATTAGTAATTTCTTGTTAACATTATTTTTATTGTTAGTATTATTAAAATGAAATCGTTTTTCACTCATCAGTATTGTCAGCTAATAAAAAGTTTAATTTTTTTTTTTTTACTATTGTAGAATGCACCCTGCAAAATAGAGGATTTCAAAATATTAGCTGATTGCATTTTTATTGAAGATGAAACATTGTTTCTTCGTTTTATAAATACTAGATGGCTTACTTTTTCTGCTACACTTGTAAAAGTTCTATTAAGATGGGAAGATACTAAGAAATATTTTTTGGAGTATATTCCAAAGCAAAAAGAATATAAAAAGACTCTGACAAACAACAAGCGTTATGTTAGGATTCAGAGATCTCTTAAAGAAAATGAAAATGTAATTTAATAACTTTGGGTTTTTTTTTTTTTTTAATTTTTTTATTAAATACATATTATAGGGAATTACTTATTTTAGGAGTTACTTGTGTCCATCAAATTCCTTATTCCCTTGTTTGAAAAATGCTTGACCATATTCCAAGATGAAGGACCATTTGTTCATATTTTATTTTATAAAATGAAAGATCTTTTAATATCATTGATGATGCATTTTCTTAAACCTTCTGCTGTTAATGGTAAACTTTCCAAAGATCTTTTAAAAATTGATTCTTCTGATTCAACTATCCACCTTGATTTAAATAAAATGGATTTTGGCGAGGAGGCTGAAAACCAAGTATTTTGTGTTTTGATATTTTGTTGCGCATTTTATTTAAGAGGAAATACAAACTATTAGTTATTGTATATTATGTTTTATTAAAGAAGTTATTATTTCTGACTGATGCTGAGTTTCAAATGGGAAATATGTAATTTTTAGGTGAAAAAAATTTCATGTGAAAAAAAAAGAAGTTTCTACTTACAGCAAATGAGAGATGGTTATATATCCATTGTAAAACACTTACAAAAAAAACTTTCGCTTCATTCGCAGGTATTAAAAGATTTGACTTGTTTGGGTGCTCAAATGAGATCAGAACCTTGGACTGTTAATGCAATTGGACGATTAGCAGTTATGATGCCACATGTGATAAAGGAAAGAGAGGTGAATTTTTTATATTTAATTGCAGTTTTGGTTTTTTTAAATGTACTTTATCATTTATTTTGCATTTAATACATGTTCTGTTTATGCATATAATAGTTTCTTAAGATTTTGTAATATTGTTGGTTAATTTAGTTTTCTTTTAGAATTAAGTATTAGTATTTTCATAAAAATTTTATCTTCATTTTTCTATAGGTATCATTTGTGAAAGATGAATGGAAATTGTATCAAGCAGCTAATATCTCAAAAGACTGGTTTTTAGATTCTGATACAAAAAAATTAAAAAGAATTGACTACTACTGGGCTAAAGTTTTTAAAAGTGACAAGGAATATGGAAAAACTAAGTATGTATATCTCAGTAAAGTTGTTAAGAGCTGTTTAACTATTCAAAATGGAAATGCTATTGTAGAGCGAAGTTTATCAGATAATAAAAATACATTGACTTCAGAGCGAGTAAAATTAAGCAATGAAACATTAATGGCTTTGAGAATATCAAAGGAATACGCAAGAAGTTGCAAAGGAGCATATAATGTTGATGTACTCTCTAAAGAGGTTGTTCAAGCAGTGCAAAATGCTCACAGAATATATAAAAAAAGAAAAGCAGAGGAAGAAGAAGAAATAAGAATAAATGATATTCATAAGCTAGAAATTATTGATAAAGAAAAACAACACAAAGAAATGCTTGAAAAAGTTGAAAAAAACAACAAAAATCTAGTTCAAAAGGAAAAAAATCTTGAAAATGATGAGAAAAATGCAGATCTAGAGTTTCAACTGGCTCAGAGAATGCTAGATGAAGCGACCAAGTCTATGCAAAGTGCCATCAATAAAGAAGACATGATAGGTATAAAAATTGCCCATGAAATGGTGAACAGTGCAAAAAAAAATCTTGAAAAATATATATATATATATATATATATATATATATATATATATATATATATATATATATATATATATAATATATATATATATATATATATATATATATATATATATATATATATATATATATATATATATATATATATATATATATATATATATATATATATATATATATAATATATATATATATAATATATATATATATATAATATATATATATATATATATATATATATATATAATATATATATATATATATATATATATATATATATATATATATATATATATATATATATATATATATATATATATATATATATATATATATATATATATATATATATATATATATATATATATATATATATATATATATATATATATATATATATATATATATATAATATATTTCAAGAACAGAGCAGTAATAAATTAATAAAAAACTTATCTATCTTTTTTTCTTCTTCAACTTGTTTTTTCCATGTTTATGTTTGTTTTATTTTATTTTCAGTCATCTTGATTTGAATAAAATGAGTTCCAAAAGCAGAAAGAGAGCACAATTGGCTCAGCAATATGCTCGTAGAAAGACTTATAAATTTGAACAGTTTATAAATATCCCATATATTGGTACTGAAGGTGAAAAAGTTGAGGCTTTTGATAACATAAAGAAAATACCATCTGTAAGCAAACTTTTGTATCCCCATTCCTATGGACAAAGTTATGTAAGCTCCAGTGTTCTATCAGGAAGTGATTTGTTACCGTCAAAGGAAGAGTTTCATAATGTTCGAGGTTTTGGCTGTTTTGACATAGATGACTCTATTGCATGGAAATCAATAAATGCAGTAGAAAAGACCGCAGACCTTATTACTGATAACTTAAGCAATAACAATGAAAGTAATGACCTGACGTTTAAAGAAGATCTAGCCCAATGGGCTGTGCAATGTTCGGTGCCTCTAGCAACATTAACATCATTATTAAAAATTTTGCAAAATCACTTTATTGTAGATCTGCCAACACAAGCTACAACGCTATTAAAAACGCCTCGCAAGTTAGATATCATTCAAAAGTCAGGTCTGTAAATCTTTCAAGAATTTTTTTTGTTGAACCCTAATGTAGATTTTTTTCTTGATATCTAAATCATATTAAATATTTAATTTAGTTAAAGACTAAATTATTATTTATTAAATAGAATTAAATAGTTAAGTTAAAGACATTGAATTTAGTTTTACTTGATATTTCTTAGTTATATAGTTATAGTTATATTTGCTTAGTCGAATTTCTTTAGTTAATAAAAATATATTTCACATGCATTTTTTTGTAGTAATATAAAAGAACTAACTTTTGTCTTTCAGGTGGTGATTATACCTACTTTGGAATAAAAGATGGTATTTTGAGAACTATTTTTAAAAAAGATTTAGATTTTGTTGAGTTAGTATTCAACATTGATGGCCTCCCTATCCATAAAAGTACAAATGCTTGCCTCTGGCCAATTCAATGTCGTGTTGATAATGTGCGTGAAAACAGTCCATTTGTTGTGGCGTTGTTTTGCGGTGTACAGAAGCCAACTAGTTTGGAATTCTTGGAAGAGTTTACTTTAGAGTTAAAATTCCTAATGGCAAATGGCATTAATGATTATAATGGAAAAACCATACAAGTAAATACGAAATATTTTATCTGCGATGCGCCAGCAAAAGCTTTCATTAAAGGCATTGCTCACTATAATGGTCGCTATGGTTGTGATTATTGTAATGTAAAGGGAACCTATGATGGTCGAATGATGTTTTTATACACTGGTACTCAGCGCACTGATCAGACATTTAGAGAAAAAATTCAGAAAAGTCATCACAAGTATATCAGTGTCTTGGAATCACTTGAAATAGACATGGTACAACAGTTCCCTCTTGACGTGATGCATTGTGTGGACCTAGGTTGTACTAAAAAACTACTGTTAACTTGGAAGGAAGGCCCGCTTCCTTTTCGATTGTCATCAGGGCAAATTACTTTATTAAGCACTTACTTATGTTCTTTAAAAGAAGACATTCCTATAGAATTTAATCGTAAACCAAGAAGTTTGAAAGATCTCAAGTTATGGAAAGCCTCTGAATTTAGAACTTTTCTTTTATATTGTGGACCAGTAGTTTTGAAATATATACTCAGCAAAGAAAAATACAACCACTTTCTTTGTTTAAGTGTAGCTATTCGGATCTTATACAGCAAAGATTTGATGACTGAGTATAAAGGTTATGCTCAAGAGTTTCTTAATAGCTTTGTGGACAACACCAGACTGCTCTACTCCGATCATCTATTAACTTATAATTTTCATTGTTTAAACCATTTAACTTTAACAGCAGAGAGATATGGTTGTTTAGATGGAGTGACAGCCTATCCATTTGAAATCAATATGTCAGCTATAAAAAGAATGATACGGGGTCCTTCTAAAGTAGTAGCTCAGATTGCTGGACGACTCACAGAAATAAACAATAACAGGTCAGCAGTCTGTAAAAAAAAGCAGTCTGTAAAAAAAATTTTAATCCAAAGATCAACGAATGCTATCGTCTGAAGAGCGGAAGTTTTTGTGTCATTGACTCAATAAATAGTAATGCTAAAAGTGTTCTTGGTCAAGTCTATATCAGAACAGAAAATTTATTCAGCTCTCCTTGCAATTCTAAACTTGTTGGTATTTACAAGGTTAACAACAAGCATACAGAAATGTTGTATATACCTTTTGATGATTTTGTATCAAAGGCCATAAGAATACCGGTCTCTTTTTGAACCTGATAATCTAGCAGCAGCAGTTATTTTATCACTTGTGCACAGTTGAAATGCTCTACAAGTTAACTAACCATATTTGGTATTCGTTAATTGCTAAATGAGCTATAAAGTGCTTTAATGATTTTAAAAATGGAATATTCAACATTTGTAATTTATTTGTAATTGAATTTTAATGCCTCTTTGTATTATTTTGATTTCAATTTTTTTGATAAGTCAATATTTATGCTTTTACTCATTTACCTTGAATAAACTCAGTTACTTTACCCCCTTTAAAAGTTTACTATAATCCCTTACTTTACTACACCCGCTTTTTTCAAGGACCTATTTTTTATAAACTGAATTTTTTTACAAAATAGACGATTTTTTTTAATGAGCGAGTTTGCCCCCCTCCCTCTCCCCGCCCTCCTCACTTTGAAAAAGTGTTTTTATAGTCAAAATAATTATTAAGTAAATGATAGTAATGATATCAATACGTGATTTCATTTTGATATCATAAACTGCTCATTTTATATCAGGTTTTAAGTTCAATAATCAATCATTGATATCAGAATGATATCAATGATTGATTATTTTTTAATATCAAATTGGTATCATAAACTTCTCATGTTATAATATCGGCCTTTGATTTCAGAATGATATCAATGAGTGATTTCATTTTGATATCTTATTGATATCACAAACTTCTCATAGTATGATATCAGGTTTTGAGTTCAGAATGATTTCAACGAGTGATTTCATTTTGATGTCATATTGATATCATATATTAATATCATAAATATCAAAGTTTAATATCATATTGATATCCGTATGATATCAAATTCGTGACTGGGTAGGTACCGTCGGGCTAAGTGTCGGAAAAAGTCGTTGCTCCGTGCTCCTCATCTCCTCCAGAGGAGGAGAGTGGTATATATATTTCTATAAGGTCGCGCACGACACAAGGTACGTGTGCTGGTTGGAACACACTGAGCCGTAATAGCCCTAGAGAAGTGAGGAAAAACTGATTCAATAGTTTAAGTGTTAGTAAACAATTATCAAAAGTTGGACAGATGTCCAGTGAAAAGTCAGTGATTATATAGATGAAGACTTAGGACGAGAGGGGGATGGAGGGTACGGTAATGTCTGCGCCGTTTCGCAAGAGACTAATAGGATGTTCGGTATGATAGACGAGGTCATATTGAACATATTATCAAACTTGTGTCACGTGACTTTGCTGATGTCATTATGTGATTGATAAAGAAGAGGATTCAGCACATGCAGCGACTGAGGGTTTTGGTTTGGGCAGGTCTCCATTTGTTCATGTACAAATGTTATGTTTCACGGATTTAGCCTAGAATAAGAATTTTATCTTATTTGTAAACATAGTTTGTCTTGTCTTAAAATAAGAGTTTGTGTCACGTGACTTTAATAATGTCATTCTGTGATTGATAAACAAGAGGCTTCAGCACATCCAACGACATAGGGTTTTGGTTTGGGCAGGTCTCCAATCGTTTAATTCTCTGATTAATAATCGACAGGCTTCAGCACATGTAACGACTAAGGGTTTTGGTTTGGGCAGGTTTCCCTTTGTTTATTTCTCTGATTAATAAACAACAGGCTTCAACACATGCAGCGACTGAGAGTTTTGGTTTGGGCAAGTTTCCAATTGATTAATTCTCTGATTAATAATCAACAGGCTTCAGCACATGCAGCGACTGAGGGTTTTGGTTTGGGCAGGTTCCCCATTTATTCATGTACAAATGTTATGTTTCACGGAACTAGCCTAGAATAAGAATTTTATCTTATTTGGAAACATAGTTTGTCTTGCTTTAAAATAATAATTTGTGTCACATGACATTAATAATGTCATTCTGTGATTGATAAACAAGAGGCTTCAGCACATACAGCGACTGAGGGTTTTGGTTTGGGCAGGTCTCCATTTGTTCATGTATAAATGTTATGTTTCACTGAACAAGCCTGGAATAAAAGTTTTTTCTTATTTGTAAAATAGTTTGTCTTGCCTTAGAATAAGAGACTGTGTCACGTGACTTTAATAATGTCATACTGTGGTTGATACAAAAGAGACTTCAGCACATGCAGCGACTAAGGGTTTTGGTTTGGGCAGGTCTCCATTTGTTCATGTAACGATATTGTGTTTCACGGAACTAGCCTAAAATAAGAGTTTTATCTCATTTGGAAACATAGTTTGTCTCGCCTTAAAATAAGAATTTGTGTCACATGACATTAATAATGTCATTCTGTGATTGATAAACAAGAGGCTTCAGCACATACAGCGACTGAGGGTTTTGGTTTGGGTAGGTCTCCATTTGTTCATGTACAAATGTTATGTTTCACTGAACAAGCCTGGAATAAAAGTTTTTTCTTATTTGTAAAATAGTTTGTCTTGCCTTAGAATAAGAAACTGTGTCACGTGACTTTAATAATGTCATACTGTGGTTGATACAAAAGAGGTTTCAGCGCATGCAACGACTGAGGGTTTTGGTTTGGGCAGGTCTCCAATTGTTTAATTCTCTGATTAATAATCGACAGGCTATAGCACATGCAGCGACTAAGGGTTTTCGTTTGGGCAGGTCTCCATTTGTTCATGTAACGATATTGTGTTTCACGGAACTAGCCTAGAATAAGAGTTTTTTCTTATATGTACAACTAGTTTGTCTAGCCCTTAAAATAAGAAACTGTGTCTCGTGACTTTAATAATGTCATTCTGTGATTGATAAACAGGAGGCTCCAGCGCATGCAATGACTGAGGGTTTTGGTTTGGGCAGGTCACCAATTGTTTAAATCTCTGATTAATAATAGACAGGATTTAGCACATGCAGCGACTGAGGGTTTTGGTTTGGGCGGGTCTCCATTTGTTCATGTAACGATATTGTGTTTCACGGAACTAGCCTAGAAAAAGAGTTTTTTCTTATTTGTACACGTGGTTTGTCTAGCCCTTAAA